AGAAAAGCCATGAGGAAAAACGGGGGAAGGTATTGACCTTGGCTTTTGCATCAGCGCCAAACTCCAACAGCATTTTCACCAACTTGACGCGGCTGCAGGCCAAGTATAGTGGCGTTATGCCAGTCTGCGGGTTGATGCAAGACCATGCGTCCAGTAATACAATCAGCCCTTATGTCCCCTCAGCACAATTGAATCAAGAGGAAGAGGAAGAGTAAACAGTCATTAAATAAGGTTAGGAAAAAGAGGTGCTCACCGCGGTTTTGGCGTCAGCATCAACGCCATGCTTCAGCAGTATCTCCACCACCTCCACGAGACCTTTATCGCAGGCATTGTGTAATGGTGTAAAACTGTGCGTGGAGTACATACAGGTGCATCAGCATGCGTTTCAGGTTACACCATGACTATCACCGTGAAGATCTGTCCACCACATTCGAAGCAAAAGTGACCCACTCGACACAATACTATCAAACGCCATACGTACCCAACCACCAGTGAAAGTGGCAGCGGAACGAATGCGTTGAGAATCCCAACTGTTCAGTAGCCGCAGCGCCTCTCGTGATCTACATGATTTACACGCCTCGTACAGCTGTTTTCCATCATCCGAACTCATGGCCATTGGTCTTCTTCCCCCTCTGCTATGAATCTCACTACTCAAACTCAAACACCAACCGATAGGGACCCCAAACACAAATATTAGTCTCATGTGCGCGAGTCAAAAAAAAGGGAGCGGGGCAGCCACAACGCTGCCTGTCGTCCTTGACAAGCCCGGAAAAAAAAAGAGTTGATCTTCTTCTCACCTCTGATTGATATGACGGTAGTTGCAGAACAAAGCAGGGTGCTCGCATGTAGGCAGGCACGTAAAGTGAGAGCACTGGTGCCAAGTGAAGAAAGAAAGAAAAATACAACGTGGTAACAGCGTCTTTATCCCACAGTTGACTCAAAAAAATGCATGACCGCCTTGCCAAAGAGTTGACCACTTTCTTCTCCGTAAAGAATTTTGTAACCTATATTTAGGCGATGCAATTTCGGTGGTCTCGCAGAAATGGCAAAAACGATCACGCACGCCGTCAAATGTGAACGGCGCAAGCCCCGCATCAGTATTCATTGTTGTGCCCTCAGGCAGCAGTAAGCGCGGGAGTGCCGTTGCACCATCCATGCTCTCTTGATTGTACCGTGTGTGTTGGCTTTTGAGCAGATGATGAGGGACGCTGCCACAGAGGACGTGGCATTGCCACATTATCAACGCAGAGGTTACAAGGCAACCATGTTGACCGTAAATACACTTGAGCCGCAACGACGCCGTGCTGTGATTTGAGGTTAATCCCACGCCTTGGCACACCGGTGTGCGCCTTCTGACATACCGGTGCATCGGTATCAGGCATTTTATGCGAGGTCTGAACATGGCTGCCAAGTTTGTTGCTCAAAAAGCGATTAATAGCTCGACCTTTTGCTTGCCCCGTTCTTCACGTTTCGCAATGTTGAGCAGCTTGTTCATTCGCTGCCGCCCTCATTTGCGTCATGCTAGTTCCTATCCTCATGGAGCTGCCCCTTTTCCTTTGCTGCCCTTGCAGTGGCCCAGCCACTGCCCAGCACCGCAGTGTCGAGGTTATATATTTTTTAAAAAATCAGCAGAACGTCCAGCACGGTCAAACTTGCCCTACAGATGGATCGAGTCAACTTGATTTGCTCCTCGTTCTACATCTCGCTCATCCCGTCTCCCGTCGAGGATTGAAGATGGCTTGAGGCAATTCCATCGTCCCTGGTTGTTGGTCTGCCAACAGTTCTCAAGACTCGAAAATGCCGTGTTACAAGCCTCGGCTGTTGCGGCTGTTACTCTTGAGTCACCGTGGTGGTAAGATGTATGTTCGAGTCGGACTCCGATCCTCGAAACCAGTCATTGCTCAAACGCGCCTGGCATACGGTGTTGTCCGAGCTTTCAGCGTCTTGATGACGAGTAAGAAGAGCAAGCTCGGCAGAGCTGAGTTTGGGAATCCGATCAAGCAATTTGTTGTTCTCATTGAGTGCGTTCTCTCGGGCACTGCGACGAATTTCAAGAAGCTCGCACACAACCTCCACGATCATGCCATGGCTCGTACACGCACGCTTCTCACTGCAGGTCTCTAGCCGGTTTGTCAAAGCTACGCGCTCATGTGCCAAAATAATCAGCCTGCCTTCAAAAAGTTGAATGCCTCGCTGTCTCCGCCGTTGCGCAGCCACAAGATCTACTCTGGTGATACCGTACAGCTCCAGAAGCCCGTTGGACCGATCAGGGCGCCCCCGGCACTGCACTCGTAGGGGGGTTGACTAGACTGCCAAGTTGTTGATGAGGACGGCCATCAACCCCTATATACTGTTGAACTTTAATGGATGTCATCGAGCCCGCCGTGAGCTGACGTAAGAGCTGGGATGCACGATCTGCCTTGGCTCGACGCTCGGCCTTTAGGCACAAATACCACTGTCAGCTGTATGCGAGGTTTCAGCACCAAAGAGCCACACAGTGAAGCGGTTCCCAACACCAAGGCGCACCGACATCCTTGGAAACCCCAGCTTCCATCATACCCGGGCGTTGCATTGCGTGGACATGCCTGATTACCCCGGCGATGCCGCATGCCGGCGGTCTGTCAGCAGAGGCGGGCTGACCCGAAATGGCAGCCATCAATCAGTGAAATCCGAGAAGATGAGCATTCAAAAGCTTTGCCTAAATCATAATTAATGGTGCAAAACTAGTATCTAACCTTTTATTTTCTGAAGATTGATCAACTGGCCACCAGGGCGCTGCCGTTTATCTTGCCAGACAGCTCCAGCCTATAACAGAGGGAAAAGTGAACGGGGAAAAATAAGGGCACAAAAATACCCTTGGTGGTAACTGACATGTGAACATCCTACATTAGCATGTTACGTAAGTCTGTCACCAAATTCATCGTTTCACATTATCGTTTTAGTTTGACACCCACTCAAAAAGATGATGACAATTGTCAACAGTGGAATACACAAACATCCGAAAGGACTCTATAGGCTCGTTGGTCTGATGCAATGGCTGCTCCGGCGACGTCCATCCGATGATTGGCGTGGTTGTCAAAAATCTTGCCCAAAACGGCCATGGCGTCGCCACCCTTGAGCATCGCGCGCCTTTGCATTGTTGTGGAGTGTGCCCTCTTGGTCCACCGCGACCGGCGGCTTCCGATCTGCCGCACAGGCACACGGCCTTGCCCCGCCTGTATTTTTGTATGCGTTGACAGATAATTTTTGGCCAGAAATCAATTCAAACGATCAACCAACGAATGGACTGGACCGACGACCGCCGACGCCACGGCAACGCGTTGTTTGCTCGGCTGACACTTTTCTTGCCGACACGGAGATCGGCAACATGGGCTGCTACCAGAGCTGCGCGAAGCACACGGGGCCCACAAGTTAGCCAACCCTGCGCGCTCCCTCCCTCCCCCTCCTCTCGGCCTTTGCCCCTCCTGTGTGGGCCCACCTGTCTACCGCCCTCTTCTGTCTCATACTGCTGCCCGCCCCCTATCCCCCTTGTCCACCTTGCCCTCTCGCTGCCGTGCGGCATCCTTCTTTCACCGCCTGCTTGGCCGCAGATGCCGAGCGCGCCCTGCTCGGGGTGAACGCCGCCTTCCTCGAAAACCTTAAGTTACGACTGCACAGGAAGTTTGGTCGGGCATATCTCGACCTCACCACCACGGAGATCTGCACTCAATACGTCATGCCCCTCACCGAAGCCCGCGCCTGCGCCTGGGTCGATCTCCTGCTCAAGGATCCGGTAGATAAGTTCAACCTCGCTCCGGCCACCGTCTTTGTTTCCCACGCCTGGAAGTACAGCTTTGCCACCACAGTCGATACCATCCTGCGCCACGAGTTCCGGGAAGCGCCCGGCGCTTACTATTGGATCGACCTCATCCCCAACAACCAGCACATCGCCACCAATCTCCCCTACGAATGGTGCGTTGGCGGTGAATGGAGGCTGCAAGAAATGGACGTGCCTGGAGGTGCCCGTGATCCCTCGCCTCGCTCTTTGTTTCTCTCTCTCTCTCTCTCTCTTTTTTTTTTTTTTTTTTTTTTTCCTTCTTCTTTCCTTTACTTTTTTTCTTGCTGACCGTCCTCCCACCGCAGGTGGTGCAACACGTTCCAGGAGAACATCAAGCGCATCGGCCGGGTGCTGCTAGTGATGAGCCCCTGGCGCGACCCGATTCCCATGACGCGTGCGTGGTGTCTGTTTGAGATGATGAACGCCCTCCACGGCAAGGTGCAGCTCGACATTCGGCTGCCCGAGGCCGAGGTTGATGGTTTTGTGGAGGCCCTGGCCGACAACCACAACGAGGTCATGGACATGCTGGTGCGCGTGGAGGCACAAAAGGCCGAGGCGTTCAAGGCAAGCGACAGGGACATGATCTTCAAAACAGTGGAGGAGACGGTCGGCTTTCCCGAGCTCAACACCAAGATCAAAGCGCAGCTGCGCGCCTGGTGCCTGGAGCAGGCGCTGGTGGCCGTCAGGAACCGTGAATCTGAGGACGGCAAGAGCATGAAGTTTGCCCATTTTTGCAATCAGGTTGGGCTCGTGCTGTCAGCCTTTGGCGAGTTGGACAAAGCCCTCGAAATTTCAATCAAGGCCCTGGAGATTTGCTTGGCCACACGGGGCGAGGAGCACATTCACACTGCCACCATGTACAACAGAGTTGGCGTTATCTACCGACAACAGCATGAATACGAGCAAGCATTGGAGTACCACGACAAGGCGCTGAAGATTACGTTGAATTCGCAGGGCGAAGAGCACCTCAGCACGGCCTCCACCTACAACAACATGGCCCTCGTCCACAACAACCTCAAGCAATATGAGTCGGCGCTCGAGTATTACGACAAGGCCTTGAAGATTATGTTGGCAACGCTGGGCGAGGAGGACGAGAACACGGCCGGCGCCTACAACAACATAGCCACCGTCCTCAAGAGCCAGAGGGAATACGTGAAGGCGACTGCGTACTACAGCAAGGCGCTGAAGATTTTGCTCCTGAAGATGGGCGAGAAGCACCCGAGCACAGCTGCCGCCTACAACAACATGGCCATCATGTACAAAAAGCAGGGCCAGTATGAGCAAGCGCTTGAGCATTACGACAAGGCCTCGATCATTTGGACGGCAGTGTTGGGCGAGGAGCATCCCCGCACGGTGTCTGCCGTCTGCAACCAGGCCATGGCCTACCAGAGCCAGGGCCAGCAGGAGCAAGCCCTCGAGCACTACCGCAAGGCCTTGAGGATTCGAAAGCGGACGCTGGGCATGGAACATGCAGACACGCGGCGTGTTCAAAAGGCCATCGACAAGCTCGAAGCTTCTTCCTAGGGCGAGGGCGTGTGTGTGTGTGTGTGTGTGTGTGTGTGTGTGTATGGAGCTCTCTTTCCCCCAAACCCGTCCCCCCCCGCCCCTCGGTCCGTGACCGGTAATTGCCACATAGGCGTGGTGGGTGCCGTGAAGTTCGTCTGAAACGAATTGAGCTTGATGCTGCAACGGGTCTGTGAATACTCACTAACGGAGCCTTGATCTTATCTGATATTTTCGGCTCTTGTCTGCTTGCAAGTTCATTGATCGGTTCGGTGGTATTGGACTGTTCTACTTCAGCTGTTTGGTAAAGCCCACCCTACCCGTTGATTTCATTTTGCATAGCAATCGACAAGCCACCTTAAAGCGCCACAAATTTTAATTTGTAAAAAAGTGTCAAGGTGCAGCTACAGAGGCGGACGTTAGGGCGCCCACGCGGTCACTAAGCGTTTGTAGGTCTTGGATATTGAACAATTGAGGATTCAAGCGCCAGCCGACGCTACAGAGAACAGCAGCAGCGCACCGCCAGCGTTTGACCTGCTGCGCATGAATCAAGTCTCGGACTGGCGCCACGTTGAAATCCAATGAGAACCAGACAATGCGGACAATGACATGTGAATCAAGTTTGCACCTTCGGAATTTGAAGTTCGATAGGAGCAAAGGGTTTGGGTTGCGCCCAACAGCTCTGTAATCAGCTACAACGTGAAACAGATTCACCGGTAAGCAAGCTTGCCTCTGCAAACAGTACTGAAAATACAATAAGAAAGCCCACCTCCAGCTTGATGCGACTCCTGCTCAGGAGCAGATCCAAGGGCCGTGCACCCGTCTGTCACAGCAGGTCATCAGGTGTCAATCGCAGGTGCAGGAGAACAGCGGAAAAGCACGGCATCGCGGTGAAAAGCTTACACAATCTCTTGCGTCCGGGTCGGCACCGTGACTTAAGAGCTGCTGGGCAACCTTCTGGCGGGCAGAGAAGGCGGTGCAGGCTGCATGGAGCGGCGTTTGGCCTTCCTATATAATAACCAGTGTTCGGGAACATGAGGAACACGTCATTTCGAAGGGAAGAGACAACAGAATACCATCAATGTTATACGGCAACGAGCTCAACTAACGTGATTGGTGGTGTTGGGGTCGACATTGTGACTCAACAAACGTTGTACCGCATTCATGCTACCACTTTGGCAGGCGACATGTAATGCTGTTGCCCCATCCTAGCCGCAAAAACAGATCCATCAGACAGAGACAGGCACAAGCAACCAACTGGACTTTTCCAACACCAGGGGACAGGCAAGAAGCTTCTTACATGATTCCTCGCGTTGGCGTCTGCACCATGACTTAGAAGGATTGAAACGATCTCAGCGTGATCATCGTCACAGGCGAGGTGTAGTGGTGTGTTTCCGTCCTGCCGAGGAATTTGCCGGTCAGCAGCGTCAGTGTTGGGGCACGACGGACAAGCAGCGCAGCACAGAGGGTCCGGATGACCCAGCGAAATCCAGAATGTGTTTTGCCCGAGCAAGAAGATGCGACACAAGAGTCATTGCCAGGTAGAATCACAAACCAAATCCTTGACTTCAACATCGGCGTGGTGCTCCAGAAGCAGCTGCACGACGCGCACACGGTTGCCTTGGCAGGCATTGTGCAGCGGTGCGCAGCCATTCTATTTTTTATTTTGTTTGAGGAGGTGGGTGGGAAGAGGGGGGGGGAGGCGTGGTTTGTGCATGTCGAATATGTCACTTGGGTTGCGGTCATGAAACATTGGATAGCAAGCTCGCTCAGCTTCAATGATGACATGTAGACCAACACACCAGGTCCTTTGTGTTCAGCTCCACGCCGTGCTTCAACAAGAGTTCTGCCACGCCAGCGTGGCCGCGGTGACAGGCCTTTTGAAGGGGTGTTCCACCACTCTACGCCACACCAAGGCACATTTTCAGTCCAAACAGCCGTTGTGCCAAATGGCAGCGAGCCATGGGCAGCGGCATGGGGTTAAAAAAACAAAGTCAAGGAAAAAAATGAAGCGTGCAAGAACGCTTCCCGGCGGAGCTTTGGTTTCAAACACAAATACACAGGGAGGGGGGTCTGCATGGAAGGGGCGCACATTGATTTTGGCTTCGACGTTGACGTGGTGTTCCAGAAGTATCTCGACGACTTTGACGTGTCCATTTTCACAGGCCTTGTGGAGCGGCGTCCAGCCGTCCTGGTGGTATGGAAAAATTTGGGCCCACGGCGAGGATAAGCTTAGATCAGGTGCTCAGCATAGGCAGGCTGAGAGCCATTCGGGGCAGGTGCACCTTGTTTCGCGCCGTGGCGTTGATGCATTGGCTCAGCAAGCCTTGTACCACGTCTATGCGGCCGCCAACGCAGGCCAGATGCAAAGCTCCATTGCCGTTCTGATTGGGCGTTCCACCACATCAGAAACAAAGACATCAGAAACCAATAACGCACCGTTCTAGCCTTTCAAGATCACCCCAGAAGAATCATGCAACCAACCCAATCTGTAAAGGAGGCGGCCGCACGAAGACGCGACTGATCCCAGTCCTCCAGCAGCCCCAAGGCCTCGCCCGAATCCGCAGCGCCGCACGCCCGCCACAGCCGTTCCCCGTCGTCCTCTTCGCTGCTCATCATGAACTTGCCCTCAAAATTGAAAATGATGACAATTCCATCGCAACAAATTAGATAATGAAGTAAAATACACACTTGTTGCAGGTATTATTTTTGATGACAATACTTAAAGGTATGCCCCACGATAAATTCATAATGTCAGATAAAGATATCGTACAGAAGATTCATGTATGTGTTGAATTCACAATTTTTGATGTGCTTGCTTGCTTGATATGGAAGATCAAGCGCTGGAACGATGGCCTGCAGCTGTGACTGTGGGGCCTCATCGCCACGCGTACGCCGATCGTGCACAAACGCCGTGTGGAAGAACAATCAAAGGTCCACCGCTCAAGTGCTATGCTCGGCGCGAATTTCTGTCCTCTTGGCCAGTGCCCAATCGAGGTTGAGAAGGCGAGCGTGGGCATGTTGGGCCGTGTATTCCACAGAGCCTGCCACCTCATCAAAGACGTCTGCCATCAAGCGAAGGGCGTCGGCACGGGATTCTTGTCGGCTGTCATCTTCTGTCAGGATCTGTTTGATAACTTTGTGCAAGAGCTCAGCCATGTCGGACGTAACGTCATACCATAAAACGTTGACGATGGCCTCGCGTGCTTGGGCGTCCAGCTGTTCTCGCTCTTCATCGTCCAGGAGTGGCTCGTCGAGCGAATCCTGCGCCTGCCAACTCGCCGAATCGCTCGGGGCGCGAGTGAGAGCAGTGTTGGTACCATCCGGGTGACTAGCGACCGCGGCCGTGGCGGCGTTTTGTCGAGTGTCAGCATCCACTGGCAGGTGATAGAAAACCTCGACAAAATCATCCTCTTGATCCTCATCAACCTCGTCACGGTCGTCCCCATCCAGCCTTAGCTTGCGCGTGTGAATGCGTTGGGCGTACTCGCGCCCTCGCTGGCGAAGAATCAGCGTTCTCTCTCTGTGCTCATTGAAGGCGACCAAAGACTCAAGGGCCTTCTCCGAGTCGCATTCACGGGCTCTCGCTGCAAAGTAATTGCCGAGCTTGGCACGCCAGGCTGATGGGCTGAGACCACTGGCCTCGGCACCAGATCGGTAGATGGAAGCAAGAAGCTGAAGCAGTGGTGGGCCATACGGGGCTTGCACCAAGTGCCTTGCATCGGCCAGCACTGCCTCTCGCGCATCAGTTCGGGGCGCACTTTCAGATCCCTCTGTCTTTTCAAGGGTCTGCAGCTCGACGAGCTTATCGAGGCGATTCAGTAGGCGTTGCTTCACATCTAACGTGCGTTCCATTAGAGCGACCTCGACTTCCCATTGGGGGCAAGGACTCGATCGTGCCTGGTCCACAAGAAGAAACATCGGGGCGCCACAATGCTCTGCAAACAAATGTAGCCCGAAGATGTCAACGACAACACGGCTGGCGTCAATCACGCACTCGGACTGTGCCTGCCGAAGCGTCTCCTCCGGCTGATCGTAGGCCTGTCGCAGAACGGGATCAGTGAGGATTTGATGGGCAAGATCCAGTGCCTCCCGCTCTTGCGGTTGCCCCTCGACATCTTGTAGGCACCGGTTGTATGCACACTCTATTTCGGCTGCGGTGGCATCAGATGCCACCCCCAAGCGCCGATGCAGACCACAATGGTCTTCTGGCGCTCGGTCGCCATCATGCGCCGATTTGCAAAGATTTTCCAGGGCCTCGCGGGCATTGCGATTTCGTTCATAGGGTGCAGCACGTTTTCGAATAGCGGTTGCATGGAGCTTGTGTCTCATCAGTGTGGCGAGAGAAAACGCCAGCAAGGCGGTGCCTGGGTACTCGACTGCAAGGCATAAGAGATATGCCTGAGTGAAAGCCTGCGGCGCGAGAACAGACAATATAGGTAGAAGCATTCTTGCTTTGACGCCACACGGAGCTTTGGCGTTTTCTTTGTTGTATGTCAACGAGCGACGGCACCTTGTTGCACGAGCCCGGCAGCGTCGACAGAGAAACGGGAGCAAGGTAAAACAAAGGGACAAGGGCCAAAAAAAATGCTTCAAGGGACCTTGCCGGCGAACGTGCAACAAAAGTGCTTGTGACTGTGTCTACATGAGAACAAGCGAGCACTATTACAAGCAAACCCAGGCCTTGGCGTCATCTGCTTGTATGACATTGATCGAGTTGTAGTTTTGAGTTCGTCATCATCAAAAAAAGAATGGCATGTGTCTCTCTGCCTGGTGTCTTTGTGCCTCGGTCTCTGTGTTACTTAGGTCTCTGTGTTGGTCTCAGTGCCTTAGTCTCTATGCCTCAGTCTCTGTGTCTCAGGCTCTGTGTCTCGCTCGGTCTCTGTCTGTCGATCTCTCCAGGCTGCCTCGGTCATTTTGCACTCGCTGTTCACGGTGAGTCGACGCGTTACCATCTGCACAAGGCCGCGCCAGGGTGACTTGGTTCTGCGTCTCTGTGTGTGCATGCACGCCGGGGCTGAATGTCCGGATGCCTTGAGCCGATTGCACATAATCCGACGCGAATATGCCCCGAGCATAGCTTGACTCATCTCTAAAGCGCTGATTCATTCGATGCACATCTCTCTTATTACCTTTATTTTAACGTTTAAAAAATGATTTCCGTAGGCACTTCTCTACATTTATACTCGCTTGCGAACATCTCTCTCACTCCGAGTTGTATCCAAAAAAAAAACCCCCACAACATCCCATTGTGTGATACAAAGTTCAATGTTCGTACCTCTCTCTCTCAAACTCTCTCTCTCTCAAACTCTCTCAAACTCTCTCAAACTCTCTCAAACTCTCTCAAACTCTCTCAAACTCTCTCAAACTCTCTCAAACTCTCTCAAACTCTCTCAAACTCTTTCTCTCTCTCTCTCTCTCTCTCTCTCCCTGCTCAAAAGTTCGTGCGACTGATCCACCTGTGATGATGTTGCTACGAACCTTCACACCTCTAAAATACTTTCACGAATCGATCAAACCTCTCGAAATAGCACCAAACTGTCCGCTACCCTGCAGTGAAATTGAAGCAACTCTCTACGTATCAGACCAAATTAGAAAGAGTCTCTAATCTCGCTTCGCGTTGACGAACCCTTCTCTTTTCTAGGACCACAGTCTCTTCACATTCTCTGACTTTGTCGCAACAGGACAAATGTCCCGTCCAACACTTATTTTAATACGCTAAATTGGAATTAGTTGAAGGTTTCATAACATGATCAGAGTGACTTTGTGCGGTAAAGAGTTAGCTTCTCAACGACGTTGTCAAAAACTGGACATTTGCTGGCGCCATCTCTGTCTCTTTGTCTCTCTCTCTCTCTCTCTCTCTCTCTCTCTCTCTCTCTCTCTCTCTCTCTCTCTCTCTC